CCATGCCGACCGTCGCTGATTCGTGAGGGTGCTCCACACATTGACGGGGACCAAGACGGGCGGTGCCAAGATCGTCACCGACGTTCCCGTTTTCAGTCTTGTCCTTCGTCACCGTTTCGATTCCCTTCTTTGGAAAGGATGTGACAAAGACCAACGGGAATCGCCTCGCTGTCCGTGTCGCCGCGGCCGCTGTCCATTTGGGGCGAACGTCGCCGCGTGCCAGTCGCTCATTGCGCCTGGGGTCGAGGAGCACACATTGATGGGCTTGTTCTCCACCACCACCACCACAAGTTGGAGGGGGGAAGGAGGAGGACGGGGAGGAGGAGGAGGAGGAGGAGGAGGAGGAGGAGGAGGAGGAGGAGGAGGAGGAGGCGGAGGTGAGGGGGAGGAGGAGGGAGGAGGAGGAGGAGGAGGAGGAGGAGGAGGAGGAGGAGGAGGAGGAGGAGGAGGAGGAGGAGGAGGAGGAGGAGGAGGAGGAGGAGGAGGAGGAGGAGGAGGAGGAGGAGGAGGAGGAGGAGGAGGGGAGGAGGAGGAGGAGGAGAGGAGGAGGAGGAGGAGGAGGAGGAGGAGGAGGAGGAGGAGGAGGAGGAGGAGGAGGAGGATGAGGGGACTCTCGGAGGTCCGCGCCGACCCGTTTGATTCGGCGCCGCGCCCCCCGTCTGTGGTGCCCCCCTCTGGTGATTCCGGTGGCCGCGCTGGAGCGGCGCAGGGCGTGCTGTGGGCGAGCCTCGAGGTGGTCTCGGGGGGGGTTCTCGGACCCTTTTGGTACCGTCTTGGGGCCGTCTGAGAATCCACGCCTTCGGGCGGCCGATCGGGCCTCTGTTGTCGTTGGGTTCCTCTGAGGGGGCGTCATTTTCCCACCGTTGCTTTGAAAAATTGTGTGGGTGGAAGGAGAAAAGACGATGTGCGCCTGGGCCCGCGTCGGAGGAGCGGAAGCGCGAGCGCAATGGCGCGCGCGGTCGCGCGCTGGTAATAACGTGAATGCGCGGGCGTCGCGGCGACGACGACTGCGGCGTCTGCGCCGACAGTGACGACGACGGCGGCATTGGCTCCCTCCCTCAGAGGCACCCTATTAGTTTCTAAGAAGCTAGTTGAGTGCCTCTGAGGGAGGGAGCCAGCAGAGGGGGCGGTGGTGCCGGCCAGCAGAGGGGGGAGAACGGGGCCCCCTCGTCACGCCACGGCTGTACGCGGCGCGAAAAACTTGTCAGTTTCGACAGGGAGGGGGGGCTGTACGCGACCCGCCGCCCACGACTGCCACCGCTCCAAGGGCAGGGCCCTCCCCAGCCCCGGCCCCATCCGACAGTCGGGCACCCGTGCCTGGCAGTGAGGCAGCAACTGCGTCGACGGCGCGCCTCCGCCACCGACGCAAAACACCGACGACCGGCACCCGCGCCTCCGCCGCCGCCCCCACCGCCGAGGCCACCCTGGAACGCACGAAGGGCGCCCTGGACTTCGAGAATGCCGTGTACCACTGGACAGAGCAGTTGCTTACGCGCATGCCGTCTCCCACCGACGCCGGCACAATACAACAAGCTAAAGTTGCCGCTCTTGCTTGGCTCGACTCCCACCCCGGAGAAGAGGTGGCGCCAGCGGCCAAAGCTTTCTACGACACCATACGAGACGTACGATATCGGTACGCTCGCCCTGGCGACGGCAACATATGCGATCGATGTGGATGGGTCCCACCAACAGGCATTGCTCCGAGGGCCGCCAACAAGCTCTTCCACCACCACCGCCGCGACTGCCGCGGCTGCACGTACAAGCAGGCAGAATCCGACAACAAGCTCGGCCCGGATGCGCGTCGCACCGTGGCGGCCTTCCTGCAGAAGAACAACCAGGCGGCCATACAGGCGGGGCACGAACGGAACCTGCGTCAGAGGATGGCTCGCGCCCCCGAGGCTCTCCAGAACGCCGCCCACGACCTCGACACCACCGTGCCGTACTTCGTCTCCGAGTCCGGCGTCAACAGGTACAAGTTCCAGTGCAAGCACTGCCACCGGAAGATGAAGCGTGCCGACGCCTTCTGCGACCCGTGCGTGCAAGCACCAGCACCCATCAGCTTCCAGGAGTTCCACCTGTTGCTCTGGAAGCATGGCCTTCGACATCAGGAAGTGCAGACCGCCGAGGCCCTCAAGGCCAAGGTCGCACGCTGGAGGCCGCACTCTCTGAGGTGAAGGTGCCCGCAACGGTCATGCAGGCCCCGGGTTTGGTGGACCCACGCCTGCAGGGTCGGCGAGGCGGCCAATCCAGGCCCGCCTGCGCACCGACGCCGTTGCGGGAACCACCGACACGCACCCACCACTACAGGCGACGACAGTCGCACACAGCAGCTCACCACTCCCACTCCAGCTTCCGACATCGGCCCGTCCCCCCACAGAGGGGCCCGCCAGGTGGCGGTCACGGTTTGGCACTCGAACGTGCAGGGGGCCCCGAACCAAGACGACCTCAGGAGTGCTCTACGACACGCGACCCGCATGGACGCCGACGTCGTAGTGCTCACAGAGACTCACTGGGACGAGACGCGTGCGAAGGAGCGCGTATCCGCGCGCAGCAAGTTCGGCCACGCCTTCGCAACGGCCTCTCACACGACCACTCCGAACACAGCGGGCGTGGCCATCTACGGTCCAGCAGGCATGCGTCGCGATCCATGGTGCTGGCCCACCTCCCTACGAGGCCGGGTAGCATCAGCAGTGCTTCGCGCCGGCTCAACGGACGTCTTGATCATCGGAGTGTACGGCCACTCCGGCACCAAGCGGGCATCGAAGGCCGGCAGGGCCGCTCTCGCAGATGCTCTCGCCGTGCGCGCTGCTGCCGCCGACCTACCCACAGGCATGATTGGGGATTGGAATGCCCCGCCAGACGACGACGACTATTCTTCCCTCGCGGACTTCACCATCGACCACCGAGTTGTGGGCCACCTGGATGCCCCCACGCATACCGGCGGCAGGTGCATCGATTATTCACGCAGCCGCAGTTTGACGACACTCGATGCCAAGCTCGGCCCACCTGTCTCGGACGAGCTTTCAGCCAAGAGTCCATCCGACCACGTCCAACACTGCACGGAGTTCGCCGTGGGCGCCGACGCCGACGTCACCTCCCTACGACGCCACCACCCGCTGGCACCTCCCGCCTCCAAAGCCTTGTGGTTGGAAGCATGGGAGCGCGCGGCCACCACCACGCGCCTCGCCGAGGCGGCGGCCGGGCACGACCCGAGCACGTATTGGCAGGCTTGGTCGGACACCCTGGAGCTCAGCGCCGGTGTCCCCCAGCACAGCCTCACCAGGTCCGACGGCGACGACGTGCGGCGATGGACCAAGGTGTGGAAATCTGCCGCGGACCACGCCAACACCGAGGAGCACCGACAGCCAGTCGCAGAACGGCGACTCCGACGCGTCTACCGGCGCCTCCTGCAGTACGGCAACATCCAGGGCGAGGACGCGGCACTCAGCGCCTCCCTCGCCAGGAGCCTCGGCTCCCTGGTTTCCGACGGCTGTATTCCCCACCCGGCCACTTACGACGACGCCGTCTGCAGCGTTCGACGGGCCATCCGGGCCTTCGAGGAGGAGGTCATCCAGTCCCGCTTGAACCAGTGGAGACACCAACGGCAGCATCATTCCATGACGTCTGCCTACGCCTACGTCCGCAACGCAGCCAACGCCCCCCCCGCGGCCGCAACCGATCCAACCTCGGGCCGGCTCTCCGGGGGATGCGCCGCCAGCATGACCGCAGTCAAGCGCGCCTGGGACGCCAAGATGGCCGCTCCCCCAGACACCTCCAGCCTCGACCAGTATTTCGCCGAGGCCGCCAGATACGTGGCCCCAGTCCGACCGTGCGTGGAGCGCGGCGGAAAGCGGCACCTCGAGTGGAACAGGTTCACCGTTGCAGGCCTCAAGGCGGCAGCATGTGGTTGCCGGGGCACCGCAGCCGGGCCCGCGGACTACGACGCCGATTTCTTGCTCTCCACGCCCACGCCTGCGTGGCAGCACCTGGCGGACCTCGCTGACATGATCATGGGCGCGGGCATCTGGCCGGACGCGCTCCGCGCGCAGAACGTGACCTTCATTCCGAAGATCTCCTCGCAGGACCTGCGCCCGATCGCCGTCATCCCCGTCGTCGCGCGCACCCTGTCGAGGTGCCTTGTTCAACATTACCGTTTCTGGACCACCAGGGTCCAATCTACAGACGCGGTCGGGCAGCTGCTCCGGTTCGAGGCCGCCGTCGCCGCGCGCATTGCCGACAACCTCCCGACAGTTGCACGCGCCAGTGACCTGGCCAGCTGCTTCAATCACATCGACCCGTCTTTGGCGGAGCGAGCGGCGGTTCTTCACGGCATGCCGGACACGCACGCTCATTTCCTCTTCTCCGTGAACGTGGACAAGCCCACAATTCTCCGTGGTGGAGAGTACGCCATGCGCGCCCCACCGCCAGACAGCGGTCTTGCACAGGGCGACCCGAGCTCTCCGCTGGGAGCGGCTGTGGTCGCCGCCACGCACAAGGCAATCTTGAAGGGCACAGTCGACGGCCTGCAGTACTTCGACACGTACGTCGACGACAGGACGGCCCTGACCAACTCTTTGGAGGCAGACCGACATTATACCCAGGAGGTGGCACGTCTGGACCGCCTCACGGGACAACGCGAAGATCCCAAGAAGGGCTCTATGGCGGCGGTCTTCCTTACCAACGGCACCGACCGCGCCGACAGCACCCTCCCCCTCCCCCCCCCCCTCACCAACAGTCGCGCCGACAACCACATCGACACCGACATCGAGGTGCTAGGCATCGTTTTCGACCTTACTGGATCCCGCAACCCCCGCAGCGGCCCGCGCACCGAACGGAGGGCAGGGGAGCTCCAGGAACGACTCCGACGCATCGCCAGGATCGCCAAAGCTGCCGGGCTCGGGGCCCGGAGGCGCATGGCCATGGTGAGAGCAACCATGTCCTTGTGGCGCTGGGACGCTCCGTGGGTCATGGCCGACGACACGGACCTGCACAGCATGCGCTACGACATAGAAAAGACCATCACCGGGAGACAAAGACATTGGGCATGGAGGCACGGCGGTGCTTTCTGGCTCACCACGGACAAAGGATGGCTCGGAATTCGCGGTGCAGTTCTCGGTTCTCATCCGGTGTCTCGTGGAGGCGGCGTGTAGCGAGGACACCGCGCGCACCATGGAGCGAGCCTGGACCCACCTGCACGAGCAGGAGCAGCACGGAGGTCGTGCGGACGGATCGTGGAGCTATCGCCTGGCTGCCCGGATCCGGCAAGTCGTCTCCCGTTTCTGGCAGCCCACAGACAGTCCATGGAAGTACCATTTCGACCATCAAATTTTCGATGTTCGACTCCTTCGCCAAGAACACCTGGACCACCACGTGCGCCAGGCATGGCGGGCATGGATTTGGACACATTACCACCGACGGACGCTCCGCAAGGAGGCCGCCGGCCGCGTACCAGCGCCTTGCCACACGACCCTTTGCGAGTGGCTGGACGAGCACGCCGGGGCCGACCACGACCAGTTCGCTTTGGCACAGAGGTGCGTGATGGCAGCCGAGCCCAACGCAGTGCGCCTTTCGCATCTGCATCCAGATTGCTTCTCGCGCACCTGCCCCACCTGCCAGGTGGACAACAACACCCACCACATGATGCACGAATGTCCGACCACGGAGCCGCTTCGTCGAGCGCACGGGCTCCATTTACCTCTACCACTCCCGGCCGACCTCTCTCAGGCCGAACGGAGCGCTTTCATGCTGCATGGTTGGCACGACCACCACCGCCCTCAACTCTGCACTTTGGCGTACCGGGTGCTCAACTACAAACTGGCGGTCTTCCGGCCGTGGCGCGCCGCGTGGCTTGCAGCCGCCGGTTCCGGCCGACAGCAGCAACAATAATTTGATTGCATCTTGTGCATCAGCGACAACAAGTGATTGCATGTTCTGCATCCTCTCAACAAGTATGCGCTTGTCGGCGCCTTCTTTCAACTATCGTGTTTTCCTTCTTTACTGCTTCGAGGACATCAGACATCCTGTTGCAGTCAGAGCCGGCAGGGACCGATTTCGAGTGGATTTGCCTTCGCCCCCCCCGCTATTGACGGACTTTCTGGGGGCCCATCCAGCGCAGGCCCCCTGGTTGCTTCCAATCTGAGGCCAACTTGTGGGCGTCTTGGGCTGTCGTCGGGTTTCTGGAGGGCCTCCTGCACCTCCCGGGAGACCTCCGAGACCATGTTGGACGGAAAAGTTGAGGCTGCTAACACATATTCAAAAAAACCCAGGCGATTTCAATGATTTGTGGCTCTTGGAGGCCCTCTGCAGAGCTATTTCGAAGCCCCTGATGGCCTCCCGGGGCCAGCTCAGCACCGTTTTGAGGACTTCCTGGGGCCATCCCAGAGCCAATTTGGGGTATCTTCGTCGTCTTGCCATGACTTCGGCTGCAATTCAAAACAGAATTCCAGAACTCGTTCCTCTCTCCTCCCTCCTCCCTCCCTTATCTTCTTCCATCCTGCGTCGTACCTCTTTGCTCCACTTATCTCCTTTCTTCCTCCTCCTCCTCCTCCTTTACTTCTTCCTCCCTCTGCTCCCCTCCGTTCCTCCTCCGTCCTCCCTGCTCCCTTTAACCCTGCAGCACGAGTCGTCTTCGCCGCTGTCGCCTGCGCTCGTCTTCGCCAGCGGTCGTCTTCGCCAGCGGTCGTCTTCGCTGGCGGTTGCCTTCGCCGGCGACATGGTTGGTTGGCAAGCATGCGAGCGGGCGGACCCTAGCGAGGCGGTCAGGCGGGCGGACCCTGAGGCCAGGTTGGGCGGGCGGACCCTTGCGGGCGTGTGGGACGGGCGAACCCCAACAAATGGGGCGGACGGTTGACAGTCGGGACATCAAAGCAGACGGGCGGGCTTGCAAGCAAGTGAGCGGGCGGACCTTCACGGGCGGGGCGGGCGAGCAGACCTTAATGGGCGGCGGGCGGGTCGGGCAAAGGCGAGCGGACGAAGACGACCATGCGAAGGCGACCAGGCGACGACGACCACGGCGAAGACGGCCGCTGGCGAAGACGATCTGCCCTATCCCTGCGCCCAGAGCCGTGAACATGCCGATGTTCGTTCGGCAGAAGACGGGCCCGTACAGAAGCACACCCGTTGCGCACACGCTTCTGCGGCTGCCGAGTGGCTGCGGTGAGATTCGACCCGCCTCGGCGACATCAAGAGTGAGCATCCCCGTCCACACAGGGCCAGTTTCAGAGAATTGAAGCAGGGTGGTCTGGATACGAGGGAGAGACAGGGAGAGATATATATATATATATATATATATATATATAGAGAGAGAGAGAGAGAGAGAGAGAGAGAGAGAGAGAGTACAATAATGCAGTCCCTCCTCCCTCCATTCCAGCTGCCCCTCCTCCTGCTCCGCCTCTGCCTCTGTTCCTCCCTCTTCCTGCCGGCTCCGAGCGGATGTGATGAGCCTCTGCCGTGCCGCCGCCGCCCTCCCCTCCTCCCCCTGCCCCTCTCCCTGCTGTCCTCCCACGTGTCTTCGGCCGAAGAAGAAGAGGAAGCAGCAAGCGAAGAAACATACGGAGCTCCGCGCGGAGCTCCGACAGTTTATGCGTACGCCGTTTCTTGTTCCTCTAGTCCCGCGTGTCTTCGGTCGTGCTGGCCTGGTCCACGTCATCGCCATCCAGCAGCACGTGTGCATGTTACCATAAACGACAGCATCCACAGGACACGGCCTCGCTCGCCTGCGCTTCGGTGGGCCTGGAGGATGCTCCGCCATGGTGGCTCTCGTTCGCTCGCTCGCTCCGTCGTCATCGCCATCGCCATCCGCTTGCCACGCCGGGGTCATGCTGCCGCATCGAGGCCGCGGGCGCGAACGCCACGGAGGCGGCGGTCGCCGGCGCCGCGGGCGGTGCCTCCGTCAAGGCCACGTCCCAGAAGGTGGTGGACACCAGCGTTCCGGACAGAATCCGCGAAGACGTGGGGAGGAGCATGAGGAGGAGGGGGAGGAGGAGGGGGAGGAGGAGTGGGAAGGAGGAGTGGGGGGCAGGAGAAGGGTGGGAGAAGCGGAGGAGGAGGAGGAGGAGGAGGAGGAGGAGGAGGAGGAGGAGGAGGAGGAGGAGGAGGAGGAAGAGGAGGAGGGGGGCAGGAGGCCCTGTCAAGCAGGCTCCAGGCGGCTATTAACCGTCTCTTCTTCAGTTTTTGCGTCCTCTGGAAGCTTTGCGCCGGCAAGGAAAGGGGGGCATTAGCAGGAAGACGAGGACCAGTGTAAACCCAAGACGCATCAATGATGTTACAATACATCTACTCTCCAAGTGCCCTCTTCGTAGGTCCCATAGACTAGTTTATTTCAAGTGCCGGAAGTGCTCCGCTGAAACACAAGTTTTTGATAATCTTGAGTCTTGCCAAATCACCGTCACTGGGACCTCAGCGCCGCGAATCAACGTCATTGTTGCGTCTAGACAATCCTAAATCGTGCCAGAATACCATTCCTGGGCCTTCAACACCCCGAATCAATGTGACCGCTGTGCCTCGACAGTCCTCAATCGTGGCAGAGCACCGTCCCTGGGATGTCAGCCCTACGACACCGTACACTGTTGTAACATTTAAACAGGAATGTGCGGTGCTAGGGCGAGAGGCACATTTTGAAAAGGAGCCTCCCTCCATCCGTGAGGCTGCTGCAAACTGTTAAGACGAATGTGCTCGGCGCCAAGGTGAGGGTGACGTTTTGAAAACCACCTGCCCTCCGTTGCAGCCTTTGGAAACGAATGTGCGCGGCGCTAGGGCGAGAGCCACGTTTTGAAAATCACCCGCCCTTCATCCTTGAAGCTGTTGCGAATTTCAATATCTTCAGGGTCATCCGTGGGGAGGAAGTCTCAGGCGAAACGCGCGGTCCACCCTGCCGACGCTAAGGAAAGGGATGGAGGAGGAGGAGGACGAGGACGAGGAGGAGGAGACGGGGGAGAAGAAAGAGGAGGAGGAGGAGGAGGAGGAGCAGGACCAGTGTAAAGCAAAGACTAATCAACGACCTCGTAATCCACCCTCCCTCCAAGTTCCTTCTTCATAGGCCCACTCACGGATGCATCTTCACTAAGGGAAGCGCCCCGTTGGAAGACAACCGCTTGAACATCTGGAATGGTACCATAATTCAGTTCCTGCAGCATCAACGCCGCGAATCACCGTTACTGTTGCGTCTTGACGATCTTGAATCTTAACAGAACAAAAATCCTGGGACTTCAACACCGAGGATCAACGTGACTGTTGCGCACTTACGATCCGACACCTTACCCGAACACTTTTTCTGGGACGTTAACCATGCGCGTCGTTGAAGCTGTTGCGAACTCTCAAAACGAATGTGCGCGACACTAGGGCGAGAGCCACACTTTGAGAAGGAAGCGCCCACCATCCGTGAAAGTCCTGCAAACTTTTAAAACGGATGTGCGCCCCGCTACAGCGAGAGCCGCATTTTGAAAAGGAACCTCTTTCCATCCGTGAAGCTCTTGAAAACTATTGAAACGAATGTGCGCGGTGCTAATGCGAACACCACGTTTTGGAAACGGACCGATCCGTTGAGCTCCTGCAGACTTTCGAAACGAATGTGCGCGGCGCTAAGGCGAGAGCCACATCTTGAAAACGGCCCGCCCTTTATCCGTGAAGCTCTTGCAAACTTTTAGCTTCAGGATTTTCAATCATGGGGAAGTCTCAGGCGAAACGCCCGGCCCGCCCTTTCGACCGGCTTGGGGGTGCGACAGGGAGAAGCTATTCATGAGGAGAATGGATGGCGGGAGGAGGAGGAGGAGGAGGAGGAGGAGGAGGAGGAGGGCGAGGCTGAGAACAAGGAGGCCGAGGGAGGGAAGCCAGCAGGACTTTGTGGTGGCGGAGCTCGCGCCCGTCCTGGGCGGCAGCACAAACGCCAGCACAAACGGCAGTGCGGAACCCGAGGAGCTGATCCCCCTTGGGGGGCGTGGCTCGGAGGAGGGAGAGGGGAAGGCGGAGGAGGAGTACAGAAGGAGTCAGTTAGGAGTTGAGTCAGAGAGAAGTAGTTAACAAAAAAAAAGGTTAAAGTAGTTTAGTAAAGGTTAGTAGTAGTATAGATAGTAGAGTAGTTTTTTTTTTTTGAGAGTTAAGTGCTAGGTTAGTAGAGTTAGTAGAGTTGGAGGAGTGAGGAGGAGGAAGGGGGGAGGAGGAGGATGGGGGAGAGGAGGAGGAGGAGGAGGAGAAGGAGAGGAGGAGGAGGAGGTGGAGGGAGGAAGGGAGGAGGGCGGGGCAGTCGGCATGTTGGACGACGCCGGCCCATATCCTGGAAAAGGTAGTGCCCATGCTTCCCCTCGCTCCAGAGATCGGTGGCCGCCGAATAGTGTTGCTTTGCCGATGCTGATTTTGGCGACTTTCGGGCCCTGGGGACCGGATGTTTTGCTGCTCGGACTGCGAGTCTGCTGGTCAAGTTATGGAGGAGTTTCGGTTCGAGGGGGGACGGTAGTCTGAGGAGAGAAGAACCGGACGGTGACGGTGACCAACGTCCGGCTGAGAGGTCCCGCCTGTGGCCCGCAATGCGGGGGGTCCCTTTTTTTGTTTTTTTTTGTTTTTTTTTTTTTTCTTTTGTTTTTTTTTTTTTTTTTTTTTTTTCTGGGCCTGGAGAGGGGAGCCGAGTCGCCGACCAGAGGGCCAACCGCGCTGCTGGAGAGGTCCCAGCCCCTCTCGACTTCGCTTCCAGGTTTCCTGTGCTGAGCAGCGCGATCGGCCCCAGGCCCTGGCTCGTTTCACGGGCGCTGTGCTCGAAGCTGCTGGCCGCCCCCGTTGTCAGCGACGTCGCCGGAGTCGTGTGCCACGCGGCCGCGGCCTCCGGGACCCCAGCGCACCCTTGGCCCCGACCCCAGGGGCCACCTCCTGGGACGCTGGGGGAAGGGCCGGCTGCACGCGAGCTGTCCTGACCGGAGTCGACGCTGGGCCCCCCTCCCTTCAGGCGATGGCACACATGGATTACGGGGGCGTGGATTGGCGACGGGTCCCGCTTCCACGGGGAAATCGCCGATTTCCGCCGTCGAGCGAGGCGGCACAGGCCGCATTCTGGGCAGGGCACCTCCCCCGATTCATGGATTTGGCGACGGCGCGCCAGATCCATGGATCGCTGATCCATGTTTGCCGCCCCCGATATGGGGAGGTGACCCAGGCCCGCGGCTTTCGATCGCTTGGGGCTCCACGTGTGGGGTCGCCTCGCTCGGCATCGTGTGCGGCTTCTGCACGGGTCCTCGCTCGCGAGGGCACCGCAGCACAGATGCCGCGGGGTCGTGAGGCCTGCTGCGCAGAAGGGCTCTGCCCGAAGGCCAGACGCCCCTTCGGCTGCCGAGTGGGCGCGGTGAGGTTCGACCCGCCTTGGCGACACCAAGAGTGAGCATCCCCGTCCACACAGGGCCAGAGTTTCAAAGGTTTGAAGGAGGGCGGTCTAGACGCGAGAGAGAGAGAGAGAGAGAGGGGCCAGTTTCAAAGGCTTGAAGGAGGGCGGTCTAGATACGAGAGAGAGATACGGGCGGACCCCAACAAATGGGTCGGGCAGGCGGGGCATCAAAGCAGACGGGCGGGCTTGCACGCCAGCGAGCGGGCGGACCCTCACGGGCGGGGCGGGCGAGCAGACCTTGACGGGCGGCGGGCGGGTCGGGCGAAGACGAGCGGACGACGACGACCAGGCGAGGTCGACCAGGCGACGACGACCGCGGGCGGCGGGCGGGTCGGGCGAAGACGAGCGGACGACGACGACCAGGCGACGGCGACGTGGCGACGACGACCACGGCGAAGACGGCCGCTGGCGAAGACGATCTATGCCCTATCCCTGCGCCCAGAGCCGTGAACATGCCGATGTTCGTTCGGCAGAAGACGGGCCCGTACAGAAGCACACCCGTTGCGCACACGCTTCTGCGGCTGCCGAGTGGCTGCGGTGAGATTCGACCCGCCTCGGCGACATCGAGAGTGAGCATCCCCGTCCACACAGGGCCAGCTTCAGAGAATTGAAGAAGGACGGTATGGATACGAGGGAGAGACAGGGAGAGAGATAGAGAGAGAGAGAGAGAGAGAGTGCGGTGGTGCAGTCCCTCCTCCCTCCATTCCAGCTGCCCCTCCTCCTGCTCCGCCTCTGCCTCTGTTCCTCCCTCTTCCTGCCAGCTCCGAGCGGATGTGATGAGCCTCTGCCGTGCCGCCGCCGCCCTCCCCTCCTCCCCCTGCTCCTCTCCCTGCTGTCCTCCCACGTGTCTTCGGCCGAAGAAGAAGAGGAAGCAGCAAGCGAAGAAACATACGGAGCTCCGCGCGGAGCTCCGACAGTTTATACGTACGCCGTTTCTTGTTCCTCTAGTCCCGCGTGTCTTCGGTCGTGCTGGCCTGGTCCACGTCATCGCCATCCAGCAGCACGTGTGCATGTTACCATAAACGACAGCATCCACAGGCCACGGCCTCGCTCGCCTGGGCTTCGGTGGGCCTGGAGGATGCTCCGCCATGGTGGCTCTCGTTCGCTCGCTCGCTCCGTCGTCATCGCCATCGCCATCCGCTTGCCACGCCGGGGTCATGCTGCCGCATCGAGGCCGCGGGCGCGAACGCCACGGAGGCGGCGGTCGCCGGCGCCGCGGGCGGTGCCTCCGTCAAGGCCACGTCCCAGAAGGTGCTGGACACCAGCGTTCCGGACAGAATCCGCGAAGACGTGGGGAGGAGGAAGAGGAGGAGGGGGAGGAGGAGGGGGAGGAGGACGTGCGGGAGGAGGAGGAGAGGCAGTGGGAGGAGGAAGGAGTAGGAGGAGGGGGGAAGGAGGGGAGGAGGAGGAGGAGGAGGAGGAGGAGGGAGGAGGAGGAGAGGAGGAGGAGGAGGAGGAGGAGGAGGAGGAGGAGGGAGGAGGAGGAGGAGGAGGAGGAGGAGGAGGAGGAGGGGGGCAGGAGGCCCTGTCAAGCAGGCCCCGGGCGGCTGTTAATCGTATTTTCTTCAGTTGTTGCGTCCTCTGGAAGCTTTGCGCCAGCAAGGAAAGAGGGGCATGAGCAGGAAGACGAGGACCAGTGTAAACCCAAGACGCACCAATGATGTTGCAATGCATCTTCCCTTCTAAGTGCCCTCTTCGTAGGTCCCATCGACTAGTTTATTTCAAGTGCCAGAAGTGCCACGCTGAAACGCAAGTTTCTGATAATCTTGAGTCTTGCCAAATCACCGTCACTGGGACCTCAGCGCCGCGAATCAACGTGACTGTTGCGAACACCATTCCTGGGCCTTCAACACCGCGAATCCATGTGACCGCCGTGCCCCGACAATGCTCACTCGTGGCAGAACCCCGTTCCTGGGATGTCAGCCCCACGACACCTCGAGACTGTCGTAGCATTTAGAGCGGAATGTGCGGCGCTGGGGCGAGGGTGACGTTTTGAGAAGGAGCCTCCCCCCCCATCCGTGAAGCTGCCGCAAGCTTTGAAGACGAAGGTGCTCGGCGCTTCGGCGAGGGTGACGTTTTGGAAAAACCACCTGCCCTCTCTTGCAAATCTTGGAACCGAATGTGCGCGGCGCTCAGGCGAGGGTGACGTTTTGAAAAAACCGCCTGCCCTCTCTTGCAAATCTCTTGTCTGTGGATGTAAGGCCCGCGCCCTCTGAAAAAACCGCCTGCCCTCTCTTGCAATCTTAAAACGAATGTGCGCGGCGCTTGGGCGAGAGCCACGTTTTGAAAACCACCCGCCCTCCATCCTTGAAGCTGTCGCGAATGTCAAACTTCAGGGTCATCCGTAGGGGAGGAAGTCTCAGGCGAAGCGTGTGGTCCACCCTGCCGGCGCTAAGGAAAGGGATGGAGGAGGAGGAGGAGGAGGAGGAGGAGGAGGAGGAGGAGGAGGAGGATGATGATGATGATGATGATGATGATGATGATGATGATGATGATGATGATGATGGTGACGATGCTGATGCTGATGCTGATGCTGATGCTGATGATGCTGCTGATGATGATGATGATGATGATGATGATGATGCTGATGATACACCCTTCCTCCAAGTTCCCTCTTTACGGGCCCATTCACAGATTCATCTTCGCTAAGGGAAGTGACCCGTTGGCAGACAACCGTTTGAACATTTGGACTTGTGCCAGAATTCAGTTCCTGCAACATCACCGCCGCGAATCACCGTTATTGTAGCGTCTTGACGATCCTGAATCTTAACAGAACGCAATTCCTGGGACTTCAACGCCGCGGATCAATGTGACTGTTGCGCCCTGACGTTCCGACGTCGCGCCCGAACACCATTTCTGGGACGTTAGCATGCGCGTCGTTGAAGCTGTTGCGAACTCTCAAGAAGAAGGTGCACTACACTAAGGCGAGAGCCACATGTTGAGAAGGAGGCGCCCACCATCCGTGAAACTCTGGCAACCGTTTAAGACATATGTGCGCCGCGCTAAAGCGAGAGCCACATGTTGAAAAGGAGCCGCCTTCCATCCGTGAAACTCTTCCAAGCTTTTGAAGCGAATGTGCGCGGCGCTAACGCGAACACCACGTCTTGGAAACGGACCGATCCGTTGAGCTCCTGCAGACTTTCGAAACGAATGTGCGCGGCGCTAAGGCGAGAGCCACATCTTGAAAACGGCCCGCCCTTTATCCGTGAAGCTCTTGCAAACTTGTAGCTTCAGGATTTTCAATCGCGGGGAAGTCTCAGGCGAAACGCCCGGCCCGCCCTTTCGACCGGCTTGGGGGTGCGACAGGAAGAAGCTATTCATGAGGAGAAGGGATGGATGAGGAGGAGGATGATGATGATGATGAGGAGGAGGAGGAGGAGGAGGGCGAGGCTGAGGACAAGGAAGCCGAGGGAGGGAAGCCAGCAGGACTTTGTGGTGGCGGAGCTCGCGCCCGTCCTGGGCGGCAGCACAAACGCCATCACAAACGGCAGTGCGGAGCCCGAGGAGCTGATCCCCTTTGGGGGGCGCTCGGAGGAGGGAGAGGGGAAGGCGGAGGAGGAGTTGGAGGAGGAGGAGGAGGAGGAGGAGGAGGAGGATGGGGGAGGAGGAGGAGGAGGAGGAGGAGGAGGAGGAGGAGGAGGAGGAGGCGGGGCAGTCGGCGTGTTGGACGACGGGGCCCATATCCTTGGAAGCGTTAGTGCCCCCGTGCTCCCCTCGCCATCCAGACGGTCTGTGGCGCCGAAGTGTTTGCTTCGCCGATGCTTTTAGGCGGAGGCGGAGGCGGAGGCGGAGGCGGAAGCGGAGGCGGAGGCGGAGGAGGAGGAGGAGGAGGCGGAGGAGCAAGAGGAGGAGGAGGAGGAGGAGGAGGAGGAGGAGAAGGAGGAGGAGGAGGAGGAGGACGAGGAGGCAAGGAGGAGGAGGAGTCGAAGGAGGAGGGGAGGAGGCGAACGAGGAGGAGGAGGAGGAGGAGAGATGAATGAGGAGGAGGAGGAAGAGAAGGAGGAGGAGGAGAAGGAGGAGGTGGATGATGATGATGATGATGATGATGATGATGATGATGATGATGATGATGATGATGATGATGATGATGATGATGATGATGAACATGATGCTGATGCTGATGCTGATGCTGATGCTGATGCTGATGCTGATGATTGTGCTGATGCTGATGCTGCTGCTGCTGCTGCTGCTGATGATGATGATGATGATGATGATGATGATGATGATGCGGATGCTGATGCTGATGCTGATGTTGATGCTGCTGCTGATAATGATGATGATGATGATGATGATGGTGATGGCGGTGATGATAATGATAATCATGACGATGCTGATGATGCTGATGGCGATGCTGATGATGATGCTGATGTTGATGATGATGATGCTGATGATGTTGTTGTTGATGATGATGATGGTGATGATGATGATGATGATGATGATGATGATGATGATGATGATGATGATGCTGGTGCTGCTGCTGCTGATGATGATGATGATTATGATGATGATGATGCTGCTGATGATGATGATTATGATGATGATGACTATGCTGATGATGATGATGATGATGATGATGCTGATGATGATGATGATGATCATGATGATGATGATGATGCTGCTGCTGATGATGATGATGATGATGATGATGCTGATGATGATGATGATTGATGATGATGAGATGATTGATGATGATGATGATCGATGATGATGATGATGATGATGATGATGATGATGAGATGAGCTGATGATGATGATGATGATGCTGATGATGATGAGAGATGATTATGAGAGGAGGAGGAGGAGGAGGGAGGAGGAGAGGAGGAGGAGGAGGAGGGGGAGCAGGAGGAGGAGGAGGAAGAGGAGTAAGGGAGGAGAAGGAGGAGGAGAGGAGAGGAGGAGGAGGATGAGGAGAGGAGGAGAGGAGGAGGAGGATGAGGAGGGAGGAGGAGGAGGAAGAAGAGGAGGAGGTGGAGGAGGAGGAGGAGGAGGAGGCGGCAGGAGGAGGGAGGAGGGGGAGGGGGGGGAGGAGGAGGAGGAGTAGGAGAGGAGGAGGAGGAGGAAAGGAGGAGGGAGGGGGAGGAGGAGGGGAGGAGGAGGAAGGAGGAGGAGGAGGCGGAGGAGAGGAGGCGGAGGAGGAGGAGGAGGAGGAGGAGGAGGAGGAGGAGGAGGAGGAGGAGGGAGGAGCAGGAGGAGGAGGAGGGAGGAGGCGAGGAGGAGGAGGAGGAGGAGGAGGAGGAGGCGGGAGGAGGAGGAGGAGGGGAGGGGCGGAGAGAGGAGGAGGAGGGAGGAGGAGGAGGGAGGGAGGAGGAGGAGGAGGAGGAGGAGGAGGAGGAGGAGGAGGAGGAGGAGGAGGAGGAGGAGGAGGAGGAGGAGAGGAGGAGGAGGAAGGAGGAGGGAGCGGAGTAGATGGAGGGAGGAGGAGGAGGAGGAGGAGGAGGAGGAGGAGGAGGAGGGAGGAGGAGGAGGAGGAGGAGGAGGAGGTAGGAGAGTAGCGTGAGAGTAGTGAGTGAAGAGGGTGACGAGGGGAAGGCAGCGAGCACGACTAGAGCGCGGGGAGGAGGACAAGGAGGCAGAGGAGGAGGAGGAGGAGGAGGAGGAGGAGGAGGAGGAGATGTGAGGAGAGGAGGAGGAGAAGGAGGAGGAGGAGGAGGAGGAGAGGGAGGAGGAGGAGGTGGAGGAGGACGATGACGAGGGAGGGGAAGGGGGAGGGGGCCCAGGCGTATGGAGGCTCCGCAACGCCCACATGCAGCGGACTTCGCAATATCGCCCTGCAGACGAGCGAAAGCGAGATCCGTAGCACGTGGCGCAGCTGTGACTAGAACCGAGGCGCGTGGTTCTAGTGGGATCTATGAGACGAGTGGCACGCGAGCAGGTAAGCGAGAGCAGTCTTGAACTGATTGTTGTTGTCGTTGTTGCTGTTGTTGGTGATGATGGTGATGGTGGTGGTGGTGATGAGGAGGATCATTATGATGATAGTGGTGGTGATGGTGGTGGAGATGATGATGCTGCTGCTGATGGCGATGCTGCTGCTGATGACCGTTGTGGTGATCATGATGATGGCGGTGCTGAGGATGTTTATGACGATGTTGGTGATAGGGGCGGTGATGTCGATGCACCTGCTGCTGCTGATGCTGC